AATACATTGAAAGCAGCATGCCTCCAGATTCATGCTTATTTTCATAAAAATTTGAAAATGTATTTAACAGTACAATTTTGTGAAGTTACCAAAGGAATGCAATTTACACATTATCAATGGCACTTACAACCCATATAAATTACTTGTACCATAAAGAGGTCAAAATATGCAAAAATAGCCTTTACTGCGTTAGTAACGCAGTAGAAATATAGTTATTAATACTGAAAAATTGTTCATTAATCGCACATAACATGTTAATAATTGCTAGAAGTTTGAATCTTTATACTTTTCCTATAATCTTAGTATATTTTTCTCAGGTTTGATTTTAGCGAAATATTTTTGCTCATCTGGAGGCATGCAGCTTTTAACCAAATATGCTAGGTAATGGTAGACATTTTTTTACACAATGTCTACACATAATTAAGTTTCAAAATATTAAAATGTTGTCACCACAATATAATATAAAGCAGTTGACACACTTTTTTTTATCATTTTACTATCACAGGCAGTTTATAGTAGATGCAATTGATACCAGGTATACTTTCCATTTAAAGATTCACATACATGTGAATTGACTTTTTAAACATCAGGGTTTTTAATTTTTGAAGAAAATAAAAAGGGTTATTTAAGGGGAAAATAAGTTTCCAATATAAAAAAAGGATGAAAAATATACATGCATTTTTTAAAGACAAAACCGGTTAAAAAAAAAGAAATTGCCCTTTAAAAATTTTCTAGGTAAAAATTTTTGGATTTAAAAACCGTGTTTTACCCCAGCCCTTCCCCTTCCCATGTTTTTTTTTTAAAAGTTTTTTTTGATAATTTTTGGGTCTTTTTAAATTTGGTTTAAAAGCTTTTTTTCATAATTTTTGAAATGGGTTATTTTTTAAAACAAAATATTTCCTTTTTTTTGTTGGGAAAATTTAAAACTTTAAAAAAATTTTGGAGCTATTTTTTTAAAATAATATAATGCTGCTGCAAATTTATTTTTAATAAGTTACTTTTTCCTAAAAAAATAAAAAGGAAAAGTTGTGTATAAATTATTTGAAAAATTTGGGAATTTAAATTATGGTTTTCAACCTCTGGCAAAAAAATATTTTTTATTCAAAAAGTTAAAAATTTTATAAATTTAATCTAATTGAATAAATTTTTTTTATCTTTTTTTTCCAAAATAAAAAGGGTTTAAATTTACTTTAAAAACGAGAATTTTTTTCTTTGACCCGGGAAAAGAGGGCCCTGCTTAAAAGTCCTGGTTGGCTTGCTATGAAATTGCTATAAAATTTTAAATGATTTTTATGAAAGTCAATGATTGCTCACTGGTTGTATAGAAGTCCGGGGTTGGCTATAAAAAGGGAAAGGGTTCACTAGGGAAAGTAAAATGATTGTTAAATTTCCCTGGTTGTAGGGGTAAGGGGTTTTTCCCCCAAAGCACTGGGTTGCTACCCGAAAAACAATATTTCTTTTGGAAAAGTAATGTTTTTTAGGGAATTTCCCTTTTTTTTGGGAAAAGCCCAATGTTATTAGGGAAAGTCAAGGGGTTTGTTTGAATTTTAAAAGTCTCTGGTTTTAGGGAAGTTTAGGGTTGCTGGGAATCATATTTTTTTTGGGAAAGTCACGGGATGTAAAAAAGGGTAAATTGGGGTTGCTTGGGAAAATTACTGGATGAAATGGAAGCCCTGGTTGCTTTTGGAAAAGTAAGGGTTTTTTAAAATGTAATGTTCTATTAAAGGGAAATTGGTTGCTAGGGAGAAATTTGGTTATATGGAGTCTGTTCCTAGGGACTGTTGCTTGTAAGTCATAGTTGCAAAAAAAGTCAATGATTCTATTGGGCTATGGAAAGTTGATGGCTGAAAGGGAATTATTTTTGGGAAAACTTGTTGTAGGGGAAGCCACTGGTGTGGGGGAAAGTAAATGGAATTTCAATGATTGTTGGGATTCACGGGGTGTTTTGGGAAATTGGGGGTTGCTATGGTAATTTTTGGTTGTATGGATATATGGTTGCTGGGGGGGAAAGCCCAATTTTTTTGTAGGGAAACCCACTGGTTGCTATAAAAACTTTTTTTTGGGAGGAAAAATTGGGAAAGCTGCAAGGGGTTTCACTGGTTGAAAATATAAAAAGGAAATAAAAAAGCTAAATTGGCCTTTTCCCGGGTGAGCTAAAAAGTAAAAATTAAAATTTTTCACTTTTTTTTAAATTTCTTTTTTGAAATAAGAAAAAACTGCATGGCGGGTTGTTAGAAATGGGTTGATCTGGCTTGGGGTAATTTATTTTTAACTGTTTGACCAAATGTTGAGTCTTGTAATTTTTGAAAAGGGAAACCCCCCACCCGGTTTTGTATGAAATGACAGCCAATTTTAAGGCTTTATTAAACTTGTATTTCTAATAGTATTTCAAAACTTTTCACTCTTTGGGCCCCAGTAAAAAACTAAAAATGAAAAGGTTTTATTTTCTTTAAAAAATTTTATTTTTAGATGAACTTAAAATTGTTATAAAAAATTTTGTACAGTTTTCCCAATGGGTGGGCCCCTAAAAAAATCTTATTTTCCTTTTTAAATTTTTCCCCTCGGGAAAAAACCAAACCCAATTAAAACCCAATTGTCATGCGTTATTACTAATTTTTTTTTAAAAAAGCCCCTTTTAATATTTGTTTTACTTTTTAAGGGGGGGTTTTATTATTTTAAAAAAATAATCACAAGGATGTTTATTTTCTTTTTAACATGTAATTTTGGATTTTAAACCTTTTTTTTAAGTTTAAAAAACATTGTTTGGTTAGTAAAGGGAAATTTTTAAGGGTGAAAAAAAATTAAAATTTCCCAATTTTCCCTATACTTTTAAAATTTTTAAATCCATGAACAAATATGTGTCATAGGGGGAGGGGAAAAATATGCCCCTGAGTGCCCAAGGAGTGATTCGGGCCCCAAGAATTGTTTAAAAACTGTACCGACTGGGTTTAAGTTACTGGAGAAAAATCTTTCCCATAAATGAAAAATTCTATATTGTGAAATATGAAAGGCTTTTCATTTCCCCTTAAAAAAACAAAAGGAGCGGGTTCCACTTACGACTTTTTGGGGTAATTTTTAAATTTTTAAGCTCTCTCTCTCTTAAAATCCTTTAAAAATTTCACACCCAACTCTTTTTTTTGGGGTTCTTTTTGATCAGTAAAATAAAATTGAAAACTTTTTAAATTTTTTTTGAAAAAATTTTTTATATACCAGGCAAAAAACTGGATATGTACAGGGACTGTTAAAAAACCGGGGTTTTAAATTTCTATTGTATTTCCCTTTTTATTTTTAAAAAGGGCCTTTAAAGTGAAAAAAAAGTTTTTTTTTAAAAAAAGGTAATGTAAAACCTTTTTTGAAATTTAAAATTATGGGTTAAAGGTTAAAAACAAAAATTGCAATTTGCCCCAAATTTAAGTGAAATATTTTTTGGGTTTGTTTTTTTTTTATTTTTTTAATTGCCTATAAAAATCAGATTTTGATTTATGAAAAAGAAAAATAGTTTGAGGGAAAAATTTCTAACAAAATGGATACAACATGTAAAATTTTACAAAATTGGGAATTATCGTTTATTAGTTATATATTATTTTTTGGGGAAAAATTTAATTAAAATTCAACCAACCCTGTAATTTTTAAATCTAAAATTTTTACTCTTTCTAAATTTCTCCCCATATTTCCGGAATTTAAATTTATAAATTGGGATTATTTGGCCCTTTTTTTCCCTTCCCAAGGGTCCCGAATTAAGCCCCATTCCCCCCCAAAAGTTGTTTTTTTCCCCTTTCCAAAAAAAATTTTCCCTAATTTGGAGTAAAGAAATTTAAAAAAAAAAGTCCCTTTTTTTCCCAATTTTTGGTTTGAAAATATCTTTTAATTTTAAGACTTTTTAAAACATATGGTTAAAGTTTATGTATCCTAAAATTTATGAATTTTTAATGTTTTGTAATTAAAACTGGATTTTTTTTGGATCGTTTTACATTTTTTACCCATTTTAGCTTGTCTTTGTATTTGTTTTTGACAAAAAAAGTAAACTTCAAAAAAATTTATTTAGATTTTTTTTTAAAAATTTTTTAAACCCCTTAAATGTAGTTTTTTTCCCAAAATTTCAAAAAAACTTTTTTTTCCCCAAAATTTGGGAAAATTATCGAAGTAAATTTTCCCCAAAAATTTCCATGTGCTTTCCCCCAAAATAGAAAAAAAAGGTCTGTTTTTCCTTTTTGCTTTATAAAAATCACAAGTTTTTGGGCGGGAAACATTTTTTAATTTTTCTTTAAATTTAAATGCAAAAGACAGTTCGGGGAGCCCCTTTTTCAAATCAAAATAGCAAAAATTGTAAACAAAAATTTAAAGAAAAATTGGGGAAAATAAATTCCCAAATTTAAAACAAATTTAAAAAAACCAAACTTTCATGTATGAGAAGTGTTCCTTAGTCATACACCAATATTTATAGGTATTTTCCCGGGGGTCGTTTTTCATTGGTGGGGGGGTTTCCTGAGATCGACCAAATTTTTTTAAAATTTCAGGTTTAAATTGTGCCCAAAAAAATTCCTAGTGAAAAAAAATTATAAATAGCCCAAAAAATCATTTTCCCAATTTTTTTTTTTAAAAAATTTTTCATCTTGATTTTAAAATTTAATATATTAAGGGAAATAAAAATAAAAATTTGTAAGTGAAGTTCTAAATATTTTTTGAAAAAAATTTTTAATTTAGTAGTAAATGTTTTTAAAAAACAGTTTTTGGGTTTTATGCTATTTATCAGCATGGTGATATCAAATAAGTTTAAATATTTTCAATATGAAAAAGAATTTTAAAAATTTAAAATTAATTCATATGCCACAAACTTTTATTACATTTAATATAATAAAATTTGGTTAAATTTCTAATTCCTTTATATACTGATCAATTATGTCTGATAATCTACAGACTAAGTTAACTGTTGAATGTGTGAAAATGTTAATTTAATTAATTGAGAATAATGATATCTAATAAGAAAATTCATGAATTACCTATAGCTTCACCAACCATGAACAGGAAACACAATACTGATACGGCTATCAACTGGTTTCTGGCTGTTTTGTCTTCTGGAATTTTGGCAGTTGTTGCATGACAATGCCAGTCATCATTTTCATCTATAAACGTGTCATTTTCTGTCTGCTCCATTAAAAACTGTTCATAATCTTCCCCAGCAACTGTAGCAAGTTCTTGTTCTGTTGCCATGGTGTGGTCTCTGATTAGATCAGAATCTGAAGACACTTGTGATGCATGGGAATGTTGACTATGCAAGAGTGGGTTTGTACTTTCATCTGTCAAATGGCCAGAATTTTTAATTTCTTTAAAATGGAAAATTTTTAAAAACGGGGAAAACCCCCGGGTATTATTCGCAACGCCTGTCATTTTACTTTTTCCTTTTCCCCGGTAATAAAACTGTTTCGGGAATTTTTTTAATGAAAATTTATTTTGTATTTTTTAAATTTTTTTCCCTCTGGTTGGAACCACAAAACGCGGAAAAAATTTTTTGAAATAATTTACTCAAGTCACAAACCCCCTTATTTTCCCAGTGCCCAAGTTACCCCCCCCACAGGAAAGCCCGCAAATGCAAATTCAAAATTATTTTCTTTTTCTAAAAAATTCCACTCTAAAAAAAGTTTCTGTCGGGTTTTTAAAAACTGTGTTCTTATATCTATGTTTGTTTTTTTTTCTTACTGAAAAGTTTTCTCGTAAATCAGTTTTGTTTGGGAAAGGTTTGACAGTTGGTCTGTTTGTTTTGCCAGCCCATCTGCCATTTTTTTGTCATTTTTTTACTTTAAATTTAAATCACGTGACACTACAAATAAAGTAGGGTCCCGCCTAAACTTTGAACGAATTTTGGGTCTAATTTTAAAATTTTCAGGAAAAATTTAAGGGTTAAACCAGTCTTTTCTATGAAATTACTAATTTTCCTTTCCCAAACATTTAAAACAGAAATCTATTTTAAAAAACATTTTAAAAATTTAAAATGGATAATTTAATTTTATTTTTAAAAAAGCAGGGCTCTTTAAAGACCGGGTAAAAGTGCCTTTGATATATTAAGAACGGAAATATTTGTAAAAATTCCCCAAAATTTTGTTTATCCAACAGCAAAATGGGGAAAAAGCTAATAGGTTTACGGATTCATTTTTTACCCATAAAATTTAAATACGGAATTTTAATCTTAAAAGTGTGCTGTGGGTTTTAAAATATCATAAAAGTGATTTTAAATTTGGGGCTTGCTTTAAATTTTAAATTATACATTTTTGAGAAAAAAAAAAAAAAATTGAATTAATTCAATTTTTTTTTCCCTAGAAAACCCGGCAATTTAACACCATTTTGAAAAAAAAGTTTTGGGTAGGAAAAAGTAAATGTCGCAGTGATCTTTATTAAAAATCAACTTTAATGTTTTAAAAAGTTGATAAAAATATCAAAACCAAATAAGATGGCTTAAAGGGTTTTTTTTTATCAATGCCCTAAAGAACAAATAGTTTGGGTTTTCTTCAGGATTTTTTAAAAACAACTTTCCCGAGCCAACATCTATTTTTAAACATTATGAATGGAAAGGGGTGAAAAAAAATAAAAAAGGTCAATACGTGCGTTTGGGGAAAATTTTTAATTTGGGAAAATTTTCCCAAAACACCAGTTTTTAAAAAAAAGGAAAATTTAAAAAGTTCTAGGGTTTTTTTTTTAAAACATAGGAAAGATGAAAGGGCAATTTTAAATCAAAAATTTTAATTTTGCCCCAAAAAACCCCTTTTTTAAGTTAAAAATGACCTTTTTTTGACGAGGGGTTTTGTAGTTATACAAAGTTTTCCGACAAACCTTCGTGAATTATAAAAATTTCATTTTTTTAAAAAAAAAGCCCATTTTTACGGGGGGCTTTTGTAGTATATAAAAAATTTTTTGACAAATTCGTTAATTTACCCGAACTACCGACAAGTTTAAAAGAACTATCCTCGTTTTAAGCCCTCCCCCTTGGTTATTCCCTTTTAAAAATATTGTCAAAAATAGAGTGTTTTTTTTTCCCTTTTGCGAAAATATTTCATGCGATCCGGAGTCTAATTTTAGGGGAGGCACTGGGGGAAAAGGCTGAAAATTAAACAAAAATGGTAACCGATTAAATACAAACAAAAGGGAATTTTTCCCAGGTTGGGGGGTTTGAATGTTATTAGTAACTCCTTTATTTTTGAAGGGTTATTAAAAAGGGAAAGGGTGTTTGGGGCCGGTGCGGGGGGCGTGGCGATGTTTTGCGTTTTTCCCAGCTGATGAAAACCCAAACATTTTTTAAACTTTAACTTTTTACTAACATTTATTTTACAAACTGATGTAAAACTCATAGGCACTTGGTTTCGAGATTTCCGATGTTTAGTTTAGATAACAGTTTTAGAATCGAGACATCTACGTTAAAAATCGTTACATTCAATCAAATTTGAGTTCTACAAACCTCTCAGACTAAACCAAGTGACTATGGTAAAACTGTGAGCAAAAGACAAACATTTTGAAATGTTGTTAAATAGTATAAATAAAGTTGAAATATACCAAGAGCTTTTTTTGTTTTTTTAACCTTGGTTACTGGTACGTGTCAGTAATCCAGATTTAACTCATTAGATATACAATTTACTGGGGAATAACTGATTACATGTATAGGTAGAATTACCATTGGCCATTTTAAAATTACACACTGAAATAAGGGAATCTCATTAGCCATTCTAAAATATGTAGAAACATATGAAGAATCTTTTTTGAAATGGTCTACGCGTCTTATAAAGGAGTTTTAGAAACGAACGTATTCAAACCATATGTATAACCATAACATGAAGATGCAAAAAAGCATCAATGTGAAATATTAAGAATGCAGGTATGAGAAAACGCAACAATGCGAAAAAAGTAAAAATGCGAAAATGCAAAGGCACGACAAATAAGAGGCGAGAAGACGAGACATTTATGTGTTGTGTCTTTTTTTTCACCAATTCTGTCGTGATTCAAGACTGAAATAACACAAACATCTTTGTGTTTTCGCATTTCCATGGCTAAATTACGACATGGCGTCAAACAGCCATGATACTAAGATTAAAATGTCAGCTTTGAAGTTACATGAAAACAATATCTTTTACACAATAAAATCTGAAGGCTAAGATTGACACATGGACACGTCGTTTAAATCCGCTAGATTAAAATGTAAACCATTTTGTGTCAGGAATAGTTGAGCATAAGACAAACTACGGCCATTGTTCAAAGGGCAACTAATCATGCAGAAAAGTTATACCGAAGTCGCCAGGATTATTTGTCTGTCAAACCATCAAGTCGCTGTAGAGTCATTTTTGTTTTTTAAGACTGTCGTGTACACCCAAATCTTCTGTATTATTTGAAAACAAAATTTCACTTAAATACTGAATTCTACGAAATACCGTTAGGGCCATCGTGGTTATACGTTAAAATACAGAGGGCGACAATGCGAGAGTGCGACAGTGCGATGACGACAATGCGACAGTGCGATGACGACAATGCGAGAGTGCGATGGCGACAGTGCGATGACGAGAGTGCGACAGTGCGATGGCGAGAGTGCGACAATGCGATAGCGAGAGTGCGACAATGCGATGGCGACAGTGCGATAACGAGAGTGCGACAATACGAGAGTGCGACAGTGCGATGGCGAGAGTGCGACAATGCGATGGCGAGAGTGCGACAATGCGATGACGAGAGTGCGACAGTGCGATGACGAGAGTGCGACAATGCGAGAGTGCGACAGTGCGATGGCGAGAGTGTGACAATGCGAGAGTGCGACAGTGCGATGACGAGAGTGCAACAGTACGATGACGAGAGTGTGACAGTGAGTTGACGAGAGTGCGACAGTGCGATGGCGAGAGTGCGACAATGCGATGGCGAGAGTGCGACAATGCGATGGCGAGAGTGCGACAGTGCGATGACGAGAGTGCGACAATGCGAGAGTGCGACGGCGAGAGTGCGACAATGCGATGGCGAGAGTGCGACAATGCGATGACGAGAGTGCGACAGTACGATGACGAGAGTGCGACAGTGCGAGAGTGCGATGGCGAGAGTGCGACAATGCGATGGCGAGAGTGCGACAGTGCGATGACGAGAGTGCGACAGTGCGATGACGAGAATGCGACAATGCGAGAGTGCGACAGTGCGATGACGAGAGTGCGAGAGTGCGATGACGATAGTGCGACAATGCGATGGCGACAGTGCGATAACACTATCGCACTGTCGTCATCGTACTATCGCGTTATCGCATTGTCGCCATCGCACTGTCGCATTCTCGTCATCGCACTGTCGCATTCTCGTCATCGCACTGTCGCATTGTCGTCATCGCACTGTCGCACTCTCGCATTGTCGCCCTCTGTATTTTAACGTATAACCACGATGGCCCTAACGGTATTCCGTAGAATTCGACATAGATCTACATTAAAAGTATAATAACAGTGAGACAACTCGTATGTTTAGATTGTTAATGTCCGGTCGAGTTATCTTTCTCGGTAAGTTATGTTTCGGCTTTGCTGCCCCGTCCATAGGCATTCGGCACAATTGCCATGGTAATAATGGTCAAATTATCATAGAATAATCACCCCTTGATCATCAAGAACAAAATTGCCATCCAGCACCCGTTTACTATATAAAATGTATATATTTTATTACAGCAAACGTGTGTTGATGATCAAGGGGTAATTATTTTATGATAATTTGACCATTACTGGCATGGCAAAAGTGCTGAACGCCTGTGGCACCGTTAGCTATAGTTTCAGACTCCGTTAATATATAGGTGAATGTGTAAGCTTATTTTGTGTAGCTTTCAGATTAAATACCTTTAGAAGTCATGTTAATTACTCTCACCCATTATAATAGAGATGTTATCTATGTCTTTGATAATAATTACTTTGCGTGTTTAGATGACCATTTTTAAAGTAGCTTTCAACAAACTTGTCTATTTAAAAACCTGAACTGAAAAAATCTTAATTCAACACCGTGTACTTGATGAAACAGCATCCTACAGTTTACCTTTCTATGTAATAATGTACTTTAAATTGATCAACATCTCTTTCTTTATTCAGAAATACATGTAGCTGATATGTAGACACAAAATATACATATTACAGTACACTTTCACTGCAGAATCAGAAATAGATAATTGTTAACTATTTGCATCAATTTAATTAAATAGCTTATTTCAGCCAGTTTTGTTATTAAATCAGAAGGAAACTGAGTAAAATGCTCCTTGCATGCAATCATAATTGATAGTTGTAAAATAATTAAGTGCATTTATTGGATTTACTTTTTGAGACTTTGGAATAT